CCGCCAGCGCATCTGCTCGCGTGGTCCAGTCGAATATACCACGTTTGCTTCCTTAACGAACCGGGTTCGATTCCCGCAGGGTGCATCTGAATGACCATTCATCAGACAGACGGTTTTCGCTCATACATCGTGTTCACGACCGGCTTGTTTCCGGTTCGTCTCGCGTGTTTTTTTCTCGTGGGCTTCGTGTTTTCTGTCATCCCTTGACACCGGCCTAAGGCAGCACCCGGCGGTATACTACGGGCGACAAGGCCATGCACTCACGCGTCGCCGCGTCGCAGCGTCTCGCGTCGGGCACAAGTGACAGGCCCACAATGGCAGAACATCACAGCTACGTCCGAGGTCAATAAGTACGACTTTTCTACCAGTTATCACAACCCCACCTGGCATCCTTCGAGTAATAATTGAGCAATTGCAACCGCTGCGGCAATCGAACGGCCGTAATTCGCGAGGCTGCGTCCGCTGGTGAATTCGTGCCGTTCGGGGGTGACCCGGGGCACAAGAATGCCAAAATTGCGGTTTATTGCCAGAAAGGAATCAACCTCGAGTATGGCAGAGTGACTCCCTTGGCTCGCACTCGTCGGCCCTACAATGCACTCCCGCCCAGCTCCAGGTCGATTCCTGTTTTCGGCCATGCAACAACCTTCTATCGGCAGCAACTTTGCAGCGAACTCGGTCATGATGCGTGATATAAGGATTGCCAGACTTCACCTTTGGAGCATTCGATTGGCTTGCGACCACGTTTGGAAGGGAAAAGCTATCTTCATATCAGCGGTTTGGCAAAAAGGTCAATTGATTACCCCAAGCGTGCAGTTATGAGAACGTGTTGCCAGCTTCGTTCGCAAAGCGGGCCATGGCCACAGCCTGAGGTATCGCTTTCTGCATTGAGACACAGCAAGAGCAGTTTGCTGACTGAGGGATATACTCAATCTAGCACACATTGTTCGCTGCTGGCGCAAGAGAAGTCTTCACAACTCACCATGCTCGTGGTATAGATGAGCTTCCCTAATACCAGCCCGCAAACAGAACCCCGATTGGACCCGCGGGAGCGGCCGAACCACGGGTGTCTCACTACCTCTCCATATTAGCATGATCCCAGACGATGAGGGTAGTGCAAACCTACTGCAGTGAAGCCTGGCACCAGCATAGGCAGACTAGACACGAGGTAGCTGTCTCGCCTCATTTACACGTCAAAGGGCCCGGCATTGCTCCGTAAAACAGGAATGAATGGGCTATAACTGCCAATGCGTATCCCTAGGCAAACTTCCAGCTGTGTCAGTGAAGGACATGACTGGAGGAGATAGTCATGGTATGTTGTTCCGAGGAGGCTAGGAACTGACCTTAAGATTACCGCGCTCGTGGCGAGAGATCCGGGGTGGATTCAATGCCGTGGCCTACAATGTCGCTTGCTCAGCTGCAACCAGGCTCTAACAGAGCTGATCCTCATACTGTGGCTAAGAAGCTCAACCCGTTCCGGATTGGCGCTTTTATTGGAGAAACCGTGGTCCTCCTCGGTGGTCGTTAATGCTCGGCTCTTCTTCGCTGTCGCCGGATGCTGCGATAGCTCAGTCGATCTATCATGGGCCAAGATCAAGCCTGTCGATATACGGAAGATCTTTCATGCTGTGACGGTTAACCATTAGTTGGAAGGAGGGGAATGTGGGAGATGAAAGCATGTTGGAACTCTACCATATGCAAACCGAAGAGGACTCAGGTTCCCAAGGGTTTTTCCGTCAACACCAGCGAAATGTCCCTGAAACAACAAAGGCGAAACACACTGATTGTCAGTGGCCCGGCCAGTCGTGCATCCTCAATTTTGAGGGCGATGGGAAAGTGTGGACCGGTCTTGATGATTAGCTTCTTGGTGAAAGCTCTATGGTTAGAGAGAGGCATTGGCATTGTTTCTGATAATCAGAGAGCAAGACAAGATAAAGAATGAAGAAAGTCACATTCGCACGAAATTCAAAATGCGGCCCCGGCCATGGGAATAGGTAGAGGCGACGCACCAGGGTGAGTTAGAAGATGTTCGGGGGCTTGCAATCGACTATTTGCCTTCCTATGAAGCGTCAGCACGGAACAAGTAGTCTTAAAACTGCCGCAATGATAAAAACCTACGCTGTCAGCTATAGTTGTCTGCTACATTCTGGCACGATCAAAGCAGTTGCATAAAGCATGCCGTCGATCTCTGAATAATAGTAAGTTGGTCGCTTATGAAGGCACTTTATAACTCACTTTCCCGCAGATTCGACTGTATTTGAAGTTGTCCAAGGTCTGTCTAAAATGGGTGGGTCGGTACTGATGTTAGACATCTCGTCGTGAGATGCTGCTATAGCTCGCTCGGTCCGGCATGGGGCCGGATTATGGCTGCCGACGAGGCCTCAGATTGGACGTGGGATAAGAGGTACGGAGCCATCGGAACACGGAAACCTCCTATTACAGTGATTGTTAGCCTTGATCAGACAGGGTAACACAGACGAGATTAAAACGCTTTGGAATGGTACCGTATGGCTAACCGGAGGTCCTCAAGCCTTCTCCTGAATTGTTCCAATTGACAACTCCAGGCGAAGTGGCCATGGCGACCACGTCTTCAGAAAACCAAAGGTGCAAGCATACTGGGAGTCAGTAGCTTGACTCATCAGCCTGGACACCTTGCTTATTTCCAAGGACAATGGGGAATAGGGTTCGACCACATCGACTGCGATCTTGGCATTCGCCCTATGAGGAGAAAGAGACGTCAGCGAGATTTCTAAAGAACAGAGAGCTACAAATAGATGGATTCCACAGTGAACAATCCCGGCTTTGGGAGTAGACAGTGGCAACATATGGGGTAACTTACAAGGCATCGGTTGGCTCATGGCAAAACAATTGGCTCTTTTATATAGAGCCGTCAGCACAGATAAACAATTCTAGAAGCTGCCAAAGTGATCGGAACTTACTTTGCCTGCTACTGCTGCATGCAGCATTCGAGTTCAGTTGAGCTGGTTTGTTAGTGGATGGTTTCGATCTATGATAAATCATCAGTAGGTAGCTTATGGGGCTCTTATAACTCACTGACTTCGCAGCCTGAGTTTATCGTTGCGACCATTCCAGTTCCTCGAATTGAACTTCCAGAGAAGCAGAGACGGAGCTGGTGTGAAACTTCCTCCACGTTAGCATGATGTCAAAATATCGGGTAGCTAAGCTTACCTGCCGTTGAAGGATTTCGATTTCGAGCATACGCAGACTAGGAGCGATACGCCAGGTCAGTTCGATCACACGTACATCACAGTTTTGGGTCGGGTCAGTCCATACCGAAGGCAGCTGGCGAAGTCGAGAAGTGCTCGTTGTTTTTTGCAGGGTGATATGTAGAGAAATATTTGAGAACGATCATTCTACTGGCGAAAGTCCAGGTACTTATAGGCATTGTACCCAGACCTGACCTTTGCGCTGATGTCATGAATGCTGCCAATTGTGAGGGTCTCAACACCGCTGGCCCTCAAATTGCAGTTGGCCTAGCATTTAACCTTTGATTGAGACAATATTCGGCGACATCACGACTTCTTGTCCATTCTGTTGGTAATTGAGTATAACCAAAAGCCCACCTCACTGTTATTCTTGTTTCAACACGCACGGTGGTGCCGCAGAAAAGCGCCGACGACACGTTCAACATTCATCAACATGGGTATACACGTTATCGTGGTAGGAGGGGCGGCAAGTGGTTGTTCGACTATTCTGTGTCGGCGTGTGCTAGTGTCTCTGTGTACTGCTTCTGCAGGCTGGTAACCAGGGATCGGCAGCGTTCACCCCCCGAAAGGAGGCGGAGACTGATGATGAAGCAGGTTGAGCTCTCCGTCGAGCCGCTCGATCGCCATCCTTTTTTCCAAACTGTTCTCCCTCCTCCGGGGCCCGCCCCAGACCATCAAGTGGGGTATCTAGTGCTTCCGGTCTAAAGGACCTGCCTGTTTCAGACACACTGCCTCAGTCGGATAAAGGTGGCTGCTGTGCCTGAACGTTGACCTCGAGCTCAGATGCAGTACATATCTGGCTCTCGCTCCTTGCCCCCTTCCGTTGTCAGTTCGTCCTGGCTCCATCCGAGCTGTACTATTTCCCACAATATTTGAGTGCCTTCACTCAAGGCATCGCCACTTTTTGGAGCCGTGGGGGCTGAACGGCAACACGATACATTTTCCCAGCATTGATTAACGCTGTGATACTTCGGGTGGGCCATGTGAATGACTTCTTTGATTTAAGCTACATAGCATGAAATACTCAATTCGTGGGTCCTAATGACCCAATTTATACGCTCATTTCAACATCTGAACTGTTTGGCTGATGGGAAATGCGTTCGCTCGCTACGACGTCGTATCTTTCCCCATCGGCGGGTAGTGTGTGGAGCGTGGGAGCCAGTTCTGCGTTGGCCTGCAAGTTCTCATTCACGTTTGATTTTGATTGAGCAGAAAGATTTTGGAGAAGATGTCCGAATATTCAAAAATTTTATTACGCTCATGGAGACTGGACACCATGAATATGGGCTGGGTTCCTTTCAAACTAAAATTTCCCCTCATTACTGGCTGGTTGTGGTACCGAACCGCTGTGGGGAGGTCGTGGAAGCAAAAACTGACTTTGCTCCTCTTTCTGGATCTCTACGCTACATATTCGAGACGATCGTGGATAGAACGCTGGCTCCACACTTCAAAACCTGTTCTTAATATGCTCGATATCAAAGTAATCATCGACGCTAGCCTATCCGCCAGAATCTCACGGAAGTTAAAGAACAGCCATGCTTTCAAGACCTAGCTAATCTAGTCTGATACTATGTAAACAAAATACTTTGACGTCTCTACAGACTGGACTTTTGGAAAAGGAACCAGCTTTTGAGGGCTTTCTTCTCGGCATAGGCCTTCTGCTTTCGATCGTATGGTTAGAAAAAGAGCACATGTATGGAGGGAAAACTAGAAAATGCATTTCTTACTCAAGCAATTCGAAGCCTCGCTTATTCTAGAGGGAATGGTTGACATATCTCATGCTTCCATAATACTCAACTGCTTGTACGCCACGGTTTCCTTCACCGAAGCTGACATGCCTGACCCCAGATCTCGCCTTACAATCTGGCTCATAGCCCCCGTTTCAATAGACCAAGAACTCTTTGGGAATGGTATATGGCTAGACCTGGTTGCTCTGTTCTGGCAGCATACTGAGCTTCCATGTCATCTAATTGCTCCATGGTCTCCGTGAGTTTCTGTTGATGTGGTATCATGTCATCCGGATTCCTAGAATGCCAACCTGGTTAGATAACTTATACTGTAGGCGCCAAATAAGAAGCGCGAAACATACATCAGAGCTGCGCCATACACGCATTGAAGTGCCAAATGGCATGCGGTAAGCCCATCGTGAGACGGAGAGTTCGTAAGGCGAGTGGAAGAGAGCTCGCGGCAGTCTATGGTGCAGCAATACAAGAGCGAAAAGACATTCGATACGACCTCGCTGTCTAGGAAGCCCCATTGTCCAGATTTGAGCTCTTTGATGTTCAGAAGAAGACTTCCTATCTGTGCCATCATGCCAATGATTCGCGAATGTAGAGATATATCTCGCTGAGCAATGTCAAGATATCTTTGGATGTTGACTAGAGCTTGTTCCAGAGCTCGTCTAGTGGCAGCATCAATGCTGCCACCCACTTTGGAATCGAGAGTGTCTTCGGAATGACTGGCTGATCTTGGTTCGGTAAAGACATTGATGTTGCCATGATTGGTTCCCACCTGGAGGTAGTGGTTATTCGACGTAAATTCGATTGACATCTCCGAATGAAAACACGGACGATTGAGTCTTGATGACAAAGATAAGATCACTCAGTTGTAGAAATGGCTCGGTTGATTTTCCATGTAGAGAACAGGAAAGAATCAGGACGAGGTGCATGTATTTATATGTTTTTCGCCCATGTCTCGCTCTGGCCCAGGTTCATAAAATGAAATGGTATGGTAATGAGCTCTGTCATTCCCAGGACTCAATAAGCTCACAGAGGGGTCAGGGCCAATTATTTCTACCAAGGCTATATAGCGCATTTGGGACATGCATGGACCTGGCTGGCCCATTTTCATTGGCAACCCTGATCTAGCGTTAATAACATCCAATGATGCTATGATGTGGACGACCCACATGCTTCTGGGAACCATTTCCTGATATAATTTAACTGAAAACTCGTGTAATTATGTGTGGGTTGAGTCATATCTGCTTCTTGCAGTACCCTCTTTCTCGCATCCACTTCGTTCCCAGGAGATTGGTGTGGATATTGCCTTGACAAGACGAGGATGACGGCAGACCATTGTGTCGAATTCCGAAAGAGGAAATTGACCCCCTTTCTTAACTCTGGCTAATCTTTCAGCGCGTGCTTAGTTACCATATTACTGTTTTTGGATGTGAAGTGGGCTTAAACGCTCATACAAGCTACTGACACCATGACAGGTAATGACCAGGCATGACTCAAATCCTGCTGTCTTGATTTCATTTTGTCGTGTTTTCCTAGTCACGGAAACAACCTCATCTTGCAATAATAGGGGCGGTAGAGCTGCTTGGACCTCGGAGGGAACTTATGGCCTTTGCAGAAATGAAACAGATTGCTCCTAGGATCTGGGGTTGAGATTCTTGAAGTTTCAATGCTTGTTGCTGGTACTAGAACGCAAGCGGTATCCATTGAGGGCGCAGGAATGGAATACGGCTCCATGCGACGATATAAATCTTGCATGGTTAATCCTTGCCAACGGGATGTGGTATAAATATAGGTGCGGCCTGCTCTTTTCTCGGTATTTATTATCAACCGCTCTTCCCACTTCGACTCTGATTACTTCCACATCTCACATAGCCTCACCTAGCCTCACCAAAATCCCAATGGTAAGTTACATCACATAGAATAGGGATTGAGGGATTGCAGCTAACCTTTTACTCAGTCCAGCATCATGAAATTACGCACTCGCTTTTCGAAAGCCCTCTCTCAAGAGAATGTTGAGGGCTTTTTGGATGTTTTGAAATGCATGAATGCACACGTCGATATATCGGATGCTCAGGGTCGAACAATGCTATGGTACTATGTAAAGACGCGGAACTGTAAGAAAGCCGAATTTCTTATCAAGTGTGGTGCGGACCCTACTGTGGCGGACTATGAAAGGGTGGCACCCATTCATGTTGCATTAATGCAGGGTGACGCCATCGACAGAATCATAGCCAGGATGTTACTGCATTCTCGACCGACTGTGCCCGTATGTGAGATGCTTCAGGACGGCCCGAGTCTTGATGAACTTTTTTCAAATCACGCCAATACTCCCGACAGCGCCGATGCCATGAGGTTTCTTCTGGAATTAGGCGCAGATGTCAATACTATTCTTAACTCAGACGACGAAACACCGTTGATGCAAGCAGTGCGCTACGGTGACCTCAAAGTCATCAACGTACTGCTAGAGCACAGGAATATCAATCTCTACGCGAAAAATCGGTATGGGTACACAGCATTGCATCTTGCTACTTGTCACGGTCAGCTAGGTGCAGTTAATTTGCTCCTATCTAGTGAACGCCTTGACGTAAATTGCAGGGACCGCCAAGGCAACTCTGCCTTCTGGCTGTCTGTACACCTCGGGCGTGACGATATCAGCGAGCGGATTCTCAATGAGAGCAGAGTGGATATCAACCTCAAGGGTGGCACCAATTCTCGACGGCAAACCACAGCTCTCTACATCGCCTGTTTTCGCACGAATGTCCGGATGGTCTCTTGTATTCTTTCATCGACACTTTTACACCGAGTGAATCCAAACATTCAAGGGGATGGCAGACAAAGTCCTCTTGGAGCTGCTGCGTATCAAGGCGCCTATGAGGTAGTGAAAATGCTGCTCAGGGCAGATGGTATTCGGATCAACGCAAGTGACGAAAGGGAGGACGATCCTCTGTGGTTGGCAATCCAAACGCGCTCGTTGTCGGTAGTTCCACTTTTCTTGAACGACAGCCGACTTGACATTAATTGCCAGAACAACCAAAAGGGAGATACTTATCTCATTGCCGCAGTCCGCAATGGCAATCTTCCCCTCGTGAACAGGTTACTCGAATTTAAATATTGAGCCTACGAGACGGAAAAAGGAAGCTAAAAGTGCGCTAGAGATCGCCCATCAATTGAATCACACCCACATCGTCCAAATGATGGCCGGGAGAGGGGCTGAGTGGTGATAGGCCTCTCAATGAATGGAACTTGAGCAAATTTTGACCAGGGCTTCTGAACAAAGTCAATACTGTAGTAATCATCAATGACCCAGTACTCTTTAAATGACCTATATTCAGGATATCTCTGTTGAGCTCAGTAGTATACATCGGTTCATTCAGTGAAAGTAATTTTATTCAATCATAAAAAAACTCCTCTCCTCTGCACAATCAAATCTATAGCCCGACCGCTGTCTTTGAAAGTCATTTGAAAATATAAGGGCTTCTCAATCACGTTCAGAGTAGGAAGTCCGGTTGCTACCACAGAAAAGGCATCAGAATTGAAAACACTATGTTAGCCGAGACCAAACTTCGCATGGGCAGTATCAGAGTCATTGTGGCGTAGTCGTATCCGAAAATTTTCAATACTGCTAAAATCCCCGTTCAGCTTCCAGTCACGTAGTCTGATCGGTGACCTCAAGGCCTTCCTGACAACTCTAGTGGAAAATGAGAAAGAGAAGGTCTTTTCTATCTTGACTGTCGCTTTCCAGGTATATTTTGTGACTCTGTTCTTGCTTTTCCCAACCCTCTTTTATCCTCAGCATCAATAAGCTTCTGCCGCCCCAGAAGCTTATTGATGATTGTGGGGAAGCAACAGTAGCAATTGAACGATGGAAAAGGATTCGGAGAATCGCAACCCTTAGCACAGAAGATATGTACCATAAAATGATTCATGAGGAGAGGCTCGATATTGAAGTATTATTAAAAGAATTCGGTCCAAGGTTGGCAGAATTGGACAAAAGTGTCTGGGATATCAGGCGAATGCTCTGGCAAGGGCTCACTTTTAGAGGGATGGTGAGAATATCTAGAATATTTAATTTGTTTAGTCTTGATGAATTTCTAGCCAAGAAGCGCTCCCGCATGGGTGGCGACTTAGCTCAATACGCATCACAGTTTGGGGCATATATGGATTGAAATTGGATACCTTTGTCAACTGAGATGCCCTTTCTGAGGCGTGAGTCGTCTGCAATATTCGTGACATCAGAATGAATTTCTTGAACTACGATACCCCTGGCGCTACTTTCTAAGCGCAGCAATGGGACCTGCCTTTCAGTGATCAACGCAATAAGCACATTTTCTCACAGAGCCTTTTTTTATACATCTAGCCGCTGATGATGCTATTTTCTTAGCTATTTTGAATCAACGTGCCAAAATGAAATTGAGTCTCAGTACAGGCTTCCCACACCCACTGCGAGGTACATATTAACTAAAACTTTTCTAAATTTTCTCGACAAGTCCCAATACTACTGTAGCATTCGGACTTCACATCAGAGGGCCTCCGTCCTGTCAAGTTCAGCCCTTTCTTCAAACCAGCCGGTTTCTCAGTCTCAAAATGGCGATTTGGTCCTCCTTTCTGACGATTTTAAGCCTCCAATTGATTGCTGAAGCGTCTAATGCTTCTTCCAATCTATCTAGTCTCGTGGGAAAGGCCGAAAATTCTCTTCATGAGCGCAGCGCTGGTCGTTATGCCGCGGTATTGGGTGGTAACGGTATGATTTCCGACGGCTGGCCCAGCATTGACCAATGGATTGAGTCTTTTGAAGTTATGTTCGAGAATAATCAAGGTGTGGTATTCGCCAGCTGCTCCCAATGGGGTCCTCCCAATAACTCGGAAGACGAAACAGATTTCGTCAAAGATGCCATTCACCAAGTAGCGAAGTCGAGCGGCGTCGATGCCCGCTTCATTTTTTCAATCGTCATGCAAGAGAGTCAAGGGTGCGTTCGTGTTCAGACGACTGACAACGGTGTCATCAATCCGGGACTAATGCAAAGCCACGCGGGCTCTGGTTCCTGCAATAAGGATGGAATCATTCAAAACCCTTGTCCCCAAAGCGAAACCCATCAAATGATCATAGATGGTGTTGAGGGAACCCCAGCCGGGCCCGGTCTGAAGGCATTGATAGCTCAGGAGGGCGGTTCGACAGACGTGGCTTCATTCTACAAGGCCGCCCGGGCTTACAATTCTGGTACTGTTGCCTCTAGCGGTAACTTGGGTCAGGGGATTGCCACTCACTGCTACGCCTCAGACACTGCCAATCGCCGTTTGGGCTGGACCAATGGTCCTAGCATGTGCGCTCCTAATGTTATTGGCATGGTATCTGCTGCACATTGGGAGGGTAAGAGCGCCAGTGCGTGCGACGGGACGTCAACTACCACGCCTTCTCGATTAGTTTCCCTACCTCATGTATTCCCTTTTTCATCTCACCCAGAATCAAGCTCGTTTCATTCACCGTATACTTCAGCATTTGACACCACAACTTCTGCGCTGATCTCTCTCAACACGGCCCAATGTGCTTGTAGTAGGAGGTGACTTCAAGTGTAGGGACGTTATCAGTAATTCATGCTATCCTTTACTTTTTTTCTTGTTGCATCCGGTTTGAGATCTATAAGCCAGTGGTATCACTCAGAGTCCGCTCTTTAAATACAGCATTGGATCTTTTAGATACAAGGATAATCCCATGAGCGCCTCGGGAATTGGTATCTTGATTTTGTAACTAAAGATGAGGACTCGACGAACCGATTCAGACTACTGTAAAGCTCACCGACACAAAAAGATGGGGTAGCCACACTCGTTTGCTGTCTGAAGACTTAAGCATAAAATTAGCACGCTAGTGCGACGAGAACTGTCACCTTGGTCTTAAGCTAAGTGCAAGACTTTGACCTCAGTCTATACCGAAGAGTAGCCATGAGAGATGGGAAGCGTCCAACATGGCTTAATCGAAACGATGAAAGGCGCTTGGGAACTACTGGTCCGCTGATGAGGAACTAAGAATTTTTACGAGTTAGCAGTCCTTAGACAGCGCCTGTGTAATGGCTATCACGTCTCAACGTGGGTCCGCGCCTCATCTTTACGAGAGGCCGCATAGATGAGGCTATCTGATCTTCTTCTAATCACGAATCATTACTGACATTGTTCGGTTGATCAAAGTTGAAGGTGATTCACATTCTGCATTTGGTTCCGTCGTACATTGAGGTCAGGGTGTGTACGTTCAAGCAAGTGCTTGCGGGTCTGCTTTTCTGATCGACAAACTTATAAGTCGACCTCACTGAAAAGCTTTTGATTGCAACACAGTGCAAAAGATGTAGCTATCAGTTGAAAATAGAGCACAAAAGTGCCATTTCTGGTATCTGCGTTAGGTCGTGTGGAGCTGATATAAATAGCATCGAGAGTTTATCCAGATGCTGATCTCCTCACCCCATTGCTCTTTCATTGTTCTGTTTGCCGACAATGCTCACCCCGGACGAAAAACGCGTATATGGTGCCATCAACAAGGAAGGCAGCTTCGAACACCTAATCGATGCATTCTCGGCCCTGCAATTTGGGGAACGGGCAGCAACTGAAGACTCATTAGCCCCCGACAACGCTGATAGCGGCGAAGCCCAGCCATCGATAAGTAACGTCAGTGATCAGCAGCAGCAAGACATCGAAGAGGTTGACGATGTAGGAATTGAAGAATTTGCGGAAGCGTGCATGGATACGTACCGAGCATTGATGAAGAAAGGGAAGCTCTCGTTTTCGGAAAATCAAATGCTTGGAGAGCTTCATAGTGTTCTGAGCGATTACTACCTAAGCGATCCCCAAAAGTTCGATGCACAGTTCAACACAGTCGACGGCCAGCTCCAGTCGGGAGATCAAGAAAAGACCGCGAGTACCCCAGCCATGCACTCTTGTCATAGTAGCCATTCTGACCAAGGAGTCAGTGAGGACCCATGGCGTCAAGGTAGCCCTGAAGCTACCGGAGATCTTCAGACTTCGCCGTTTCTTTCAAATGATATAGGCCGCGAGAGGCCTGTGGGGATGAGCGATTCCGAATTAGAAAGGGATGCCACGGAGAAGATTCAGTCTGCCGGTCCGTCTTCGATGGGAAAAGAGCTTGGTGCGGCGGGCTCATCTCGCCAACGTAGCAACCATTTAGAAAGTCGCACCGATAATGCTACTCCTGACAATGGGTCTCTAGTCAGCCTATGTCCAGTCAGCCATAGCGCAACAGAGTCGGCATCCAACCGAGCCACCACTAACAATGATCTAGTAGATGGGTAGGGAAGGGTAGGGAAGCTTACGCCGATCGACGTTCGTGATCATCCAATGTGGACCGCATCACGCAGCCAAGTATCGATTCGAGTACCGGTTGAACTATAAAAACGACTCGCTGGCTAGCATCTCGGATCGCACCAAGCGAATCTCTGCCCTGGAAGATATGGACAGCTCTGGTAATCCGATGTGGCGGTATACGTCCGAGAACGTAAAGGACGTGGCTGGGGTGGTTGCAGAAGCGCGCAATCCATGTAAAGATTACGAGGCCAACCCATGCATGTGGTTGAAAGTTTATTGGGAGAATCTGAAGCTCGGTGATCAGGAAAATCTAATTGGTGGTTACTCTTGGATTCCAAGATGGAAATTTACCCGATTCTGGGGCGGTAGCGGCTTATCGATGCTGAGGATACGAGAGCTTTGGGAAAAGCAAGAAAAGCGGCACCAAAAGCATCTAGAAAGCAGTGGTCAAATTGCAAAAGGCCGCCCTCTTGCTCCTTTTCCACTGGATTGATCAAATGGGCCTCTGACTCTGCGATCAGCCTCTGAAACAGCAAGACTAGTAAGGAAATTTAGTACAGTATCATGAAAATAGTTCCGATATAGTCGTACCTCAATGACTCTAGTATTGCTCTTGCAACTGCAACATGGGCTGGTATCGACGACTGCTATAGTTTCAGTGGGGATGACCTTGCCTCAACAGGAACCAGTCTTTGAATTAGAAATTTAATTTTAAATGTGAAACCCAGTATTGAATTCGGGGCAGGTCATCTTTGTACAAAGGAAGTTTTCTTACTTGGCTGCCTCACGCTACGTCTTGTATCTAGAGTCACTTGGGAAGCTTTCCTTGATATTAATTACCCATCCGAAAAGCAAGTTTATCATCAACAGATGTGCGAGACTCTCACGAACCTCAAGCAAAGTAAAGCTGGGAAGATGGGTGCTTGTTACTACAAGGCAAGAGTCAGTTAGTTTCCTGTATAATCCTCATGTGCACAATCCCCAGTGAAGTAATTGATCAATCTTGGACGTAGCTCTCGGGAGCCTGCAAATTGCGCATCGTGTTACAGTACTATTATGCATACTACGGATAGAATGATGCCTGCCAAGTGATTTTCAACCAATCGGTGCCATCAGTGGCCCACATCCGTAGCATAGCCCGTTAGACACGGTCTAGGACCTGCTAAGATATCGACATCTGAGATGACAACTACTGGAAGGAATCCTGTATGGTGCCAAATAGACGCAGCATCAGCTTGGACATGTACTTTTCCAATAGTGATAATCGCCCTTTTGCAAAAAACGAAACTTTAGGCGGATCAAAAAATTGTCCGAGTTCCACCAGAACAGCCCCTCGCCTACTGAGGGACAAATTGAAACAACCATTCTATATACATATGCTCGATTTTCAATACACGGGCTATACCATTTTGTCATGCGAAACACAAAAAACGCGGACTCCTGTCTAACTAACCGTTCATTAGTGGTAGTTAATTTATCCCAGCATACGGCAAGCTCGGAGTAGGCGAGGTGTTAATATAGTATTCATTCATCGCCTTGAGACCCTCGCGGGAGTAAAACAGAGCATAGAAAGTGTCAAAATCTCAATCCATTTCTTGATTCCAAGAGTTCCTTAAATGGCAGAAGAAAATTATAGAGCATATTACGGCTGTAAGCAATGAGGCAAATTTATCAAATTGCATAACCTAGCTATCTAGACAAAATTATACATCCCGTTAATGGCATCATTTTAGGAACAGCAAATTCTGAAATACCAGACGTCTTTAGAGTAAATGAATGAAAGGAACTATAGTAAACCCACTCCAGATCTGTATTATCTGAGCCGTAGGGTGTCTAAGAGTGCCTTCGGGCACCGTGTCTATGATTCTTAAAATGCTCGTTTTTTTGGGACCTGGAAGGCGCAGTCTTGATGATAAAGTTTTGGCTAAGACCGGACGTACACTCTGTGCCGTCAGGCATTGGCTGTTTAGATGTCCAGATGCCTCCAGCACAGCGCTGCCAAAAAGTGCCTCCTATGCAGTTCCAGATCCCTTCTTCACGACATGACCCCGCAAACGTACTGGAGCTAGAGCTGGAGGCGGAAATAGAGCTACTGGAATTGTCGACCGTAGAGTTGACCACGGAAATGGCCGAGGTTAGGGTTTTCGGAGCGCCCTTGATAGAGCCCGCACATTTGGTGATGTAGTTCGCCACATTCGCGGAAAGTGACCCGCTGGCTGAGGGCTCTGAAATACTACCAGCTGTAGTGGAAGGTTTATCATCGGCAGTTATGGCGGAAAACTTGGTCGAACCGGAGACTTTTGCTGAAAGCACAGAGTCCCCAGTAGCACTATAGCCTTCCTTTCCCCAGGCAGCGGAACCGGTGAAGCAAACGTTGTCGTCAAGTCCAATAAGTTTTTCTTCAGGTCCAAGATACTCAATAGTATTGCCTGGGTTGGGAAAACGAATATCGTACAGCTCCCTGGTCAAGCAACCATTGATGTTGGCAATGAATAGGTGAGGGAGGTCTTCTAGGGAGGTTTCCTCGATTTCAGCGGATCCGGATCCCTTCAAGGAGGAGCTACTCTCGGTGATAGTTATGGGGGCACAGTTCATGTACATCTCGCGATTACCAATACGGTTGAACCACGTCCAGGCAATTGTATACTGACCCATTTTGAAGCTGTCAGGGATGGTGAAGTTGAGTGAGAAAGGAGTGGCCATCGTTGGACTGTTCCCCATGCTGACGTCACTCTCAGTCGCATCCATACACCCACCCTCAATTGACTTAATGACGCTCCATGTAACCCCTATCCCGGTGACATGAAATGCCCTATGTGATGAAACGCCTATCTGGTACCTGCAAATTCGAGCACTATCACTCCTAATCCACATATTGTATATCGTCTGAGAGTAGCATAAATAATTATTATTTGATTCCTTATTTGATCGTGCTATTCAAACAAAAATTACAAAGTGCTAACGTGGCGAATTACGAGATAACACGCGCGACTAGAAAATCCGCTATTTTCTGCTGTGACGCCAATATCATCCACAAAAACGTCTGAGATAGATAAGAAAGACAATTTTACATTAATTCGCCTATCTAGTTACGTATATTGCTTTTTTATATTATCATGACCATGAACCCTAGGGATATTCTAATCTTAGTGGAATTCTTAGCAGCAGAAAGCTACACAAAACAAAAGTACTGATAAGGCGAATACACGGTAATGAAACAATCATGTAACTTGATGTATGAAAAATACTAGCGCCGCTAAACAGAACAGCCGCCCTGGAGTCCGCTAATAGGGAATGATTTAGAGATTACGCCATGTACGCTGCTATTGCACTAGAAAAGAAACAGATCTGGGTTTATTAAGCTTTATTTTTCACTTGGTTGTCAAGCAGTAAAATAAGGTTATTGACGCTGACGAGAGTGTGAGGATGCTCGTGTCACATGTCCATCTAGGGACTGGTAAAACGTCGGCCCGAGGTATGGGCTTATGTAAAATACAGGCATTAATCATCAGGTTTATGAATGCCAAGACAGTAGTTATGCATAGATATGGGCTATATTGGGGGCCTTATGGGCCCCCACCTATGGGCCACTGTTCACTTTGGGCCTTAGAGGTCAGGCCCATAGCCCATTGATGGTTGGAGCGTGGGCCAGGATCTCAGGCCCAACCAGGCCCATTGCGGAGGTCTAGGCAATCCCACCACCATCCCCGTTGCCAATATTGTTACCCCCGTGAGATATCTTTTCCCCACCCTTAGGCCCACCCCACTTTTCTAGAGCATCTTCACCAGTGAGCGCAGTGACAAAAGCGCAGCACAAAAGGGTGAGAAGAGCGGAACGCATTTTCGTAAACGCGTCGTTTTCTAAAGACGATAGAAAAAAAGTTTATAGAAAGAAAATTGGTTAACCCGTCGTACTGGTCTTTAGACTAAAAGCACCTGTCTTGGCTCTTAGGTATTATATTCAGTGCGTTTCTACGGTTGTTTATTAACTAAGGTTCCTTATTAGAAATAAAGCGCTTAGAAATGTCGCCTAGAATGTGAACTATTTACTTTACTCCAAATGAACAGCAATCATGTAGAAATCAAGGAGCTTATGGTATGTGCTTAGATTCCGGCAATCAGAATAGAGTCTGTTGGATCTGGTTGGTCCCCATGTGTCCCCTCGCCTGACTGTTGTATTCGGGAACGCCCTCTCAAACTATAAGCATCTATATTTTAATTCATTATATTAAATATCTTAAGAATCTATTTTCTACAATAATAGTGCTTTAGGTTATGGATAATTTATTAGTCTAACAGTTAGTAATTTAACACTATATTTGCCAGGAAGAAAAGCACTATAATGTTAGGCAGCTAATTTGGACTTTACCTCTCTCACAGTCGATTGTAACTTGATATGGAGTTAGAATTATAGGTGTAAAAATCCGAACACAACGGTTTGGCGCGGAGCACACAGGCCGCCCACATAAATCAATTCTGACTGCCAAAACATGCTGCCGGAACTGTGGCGCATACCATACACCTCTGGCCTGCCAGAAATTAAAGTTCAATATTTTCACATTTCAGGGAACATGCCTAAGCATTTAAATCATAATAACTTACCAAACTTAGACAGTTAAAGAATGACTGTAGGCACAATATATAAGAAACACTCTCTACACTAAGGTACTAAGACAAACCCTTATGAAATTATCTTCAGTACGATAAGCAGTATAGCAGATTTAGACTGATATTCTTCACCTGGTAAATTGTTAAATCTTTCTAGTAGGCATCTTTATGAAAATAAGTTTCGCTTTACCCTTTTATGCTGTGCTTTTGTCACTGCACTGCGTAGAGAGGATGGTTGAGAAAAGTGGGGTGGACCTGAGCGGGCAGTATTACTGTCACCTTTTTTACTGAATGAGTAAGAGTAATCATTTATCTGAACTATCACAAGTTAATACAATCCGCTGTTCTCAGGATTTTCTTTCTCGTTGAGAGGAGGCTGCCATGAGATTAAATAAGGAATATATAATGATGTTCCTGATAGAATAAATTCGCTGCCTCTTCCTAATTTGCACATCGTCTCTGTCACACTGGATAAAAATTGGATGAGAGGAGCAAAAAAATGAAGTCTCAAAATTTGATGGGGTGCCCAAGTGACACCACCTCTAGGCCGGATGCATGCACAGGTGACCAATCAGGCTCCATTAAACTCTGGTACGGTCGCCGGAATTTTTTGCCGGTATCTGTGCGCATACCAATAACCCCTGCCTAACTTTCGAGAAAATAAAGTTATCCACATTCCAGGGAACATGTCTAAGCATTTGAACCATAACAACAAAGCTTAGACAGTTTATGAATGGCCATGGGCACACGATTTAGCTGGGAGTGTAGCGTGTTGTTCTTCTTTACCACGAGCAGTGTGACGGGTTCAAACTGATATTCTCCTTCTTTCTGGGTGAACTCCTCTGAGCCCACATTCAGGCTGGGATGAAACCCCATGTATCCCGG